TTTAGATGTGGGTGTCGGTGTAGGTGTAGATGTAGATGTAGATGTAGATGTAGGTGTAGACGTATGTGTAAATGTATGTGTAATTGTGAGTATCGCTGATGATGTTGATGTAGATGTAGATGCAGGTGTAGATGTAAATGTAGCTGTCGGTGTAGATGTAGATGTTGTTTTCCTCAATGCTCCAACTCCTAGGTAGGGTCGCACTGGGATAATTCGCGCCAAAGGGAACCGCGGGCCGCGGGCCCTTGATTCGCGGAGCGCTCTCACGAGCAGTTCCATGCCACGGGCCAAGGGCAATCGGGGAAGGCGCGGGGCCAAGGGCAATCGGGGAAGGCACGGGGGGGAGACATTATCCGGAAGGCCCCTTATCAAAGTTGCGGCTCCGCATGGCAGGTTCCGACGTCGACGGCGGCTCAGCGGGCGGCGGCGTCGATGGCGAGGGCGACCGCGAGTTCGAGGGGCTGGGCGATCAAGCCAGCCACGGCGGCGCGTCGGCCGCGGAGGAGGAGGGGCCGCCGCTGGCGAGCGTGGCCAACGACGGCGCGGGAGACGCCGCAAGGGCGCCGGCGGCGGCGGCTGCGGCCGAGGGGGGCGGCGCGGACGCAGACGCCCATTTCTTGATGCCAGGCGACCCGGAGGTCCCCTCCATGGATGAGGGGTACGGCGAGGACCAGAGGGGGCGCTTGCGCGGGGTGGGGTCGGCGTGGGCAAGGGCACGGGGGCTTCGAGCCAGGGTGGAGGGGCCTCGCCCAGCTTGACAAAGCTTCCATGGACTCAGAGGGGGTGTGAAAGGGATGGGAACTGCGCGTCGTTGATCGGCTTCCCCCAGGACGGCGCCTCGGTGCAGATGCAGGAGCACGGCGACGTGTTCCTCACCGACAGGGAGATTATGAAGAGAACAATTTTGCGAGGAGAACCCATTGTCTTCTGTTCGGATGTGTGCGGCTCCATCCGGAAGACCCTGCCGAGCCAGGAGCCAGGCGTCCGCGGGAGAACAGTCGCCCTCCGGCAGCACCATTGGAAGGCGGTCATGCAGGCGGGGCTCAGCCAGAATCACATTGGCACGTACGACGACGGCTCGAGCGCGGAGGACCAGCCGGGCGTCCCGCGGATCCACTTGAAGCTGCCGCCGACCGACCGCCGCGACCTCCACCTGCCATTCCACAACCGCCTGATGAAGCTGTGCGGCGTTTCCTTGCAGGCGTACACGAGTGCGATTGGGGCAAAGGAGACCAGGAAGAGGAGAGCTCCGCCTGCCTCCGCCAGCGCTCCGCGAGCCGCGCGGCAGCGGGGGGCTGCGGTGCCCGGCGGGCAGGCGGGGGCCCCGCGCGGCCCGGGCGCGACGGCGGCGGCGGGCGGAGTAGCAGGAGGAATTGCCGGCGGCGCGGGAGGAGCCGACGCAGCGGCGACGGCCAGCGGCGCAGCGCCGACGCCCGCCGGCGCGGCAGGCCGCGGCGCGGCACCGGCGCGGGCGCGCCCCAGCCGCGCCCCGGGAGAGTGGTAGAGTCTGAGTGGTGGGGCGTAGTCGAATGAGAGCATGGGTGAATCGAGCCGCCCACGCCTGCGCCAGGTGTCCGTCGGGACGCCAGGGTGCGGGGCGCTCTCTCCGGCAGTTTTGGCCCCCGACCGCTGAAGATGCGGGCGCTCCTTGGCAGTTTTGGTACCCGATCTATACCCTGCGGTCTCAGCGCACCTGTACTGGGCAGCTCTGGCATACTGGCTTCGCGCAGGACGCAAGAGAGGATCAGGACCAGGAGTAAAAGGACGATCAAGGTAGCCAGTTCGAGCGCGTCAAGCATGGCATGCACATCCCCACCGTGATTCCCACCCGCCCTCCCACAACATAAGAAACAGTGAAGGCGCAATCGGTAACCGAAATCAATCGTCAAGGTGGTGTGGCACAGCTGATGCAGCCGCCATGGTGGTTACCGATGGGGAAGTCCTCGCCCGTCTCAATGGCTGCGCTGGCACTTCAGCACGAACCGAGGATGCCCCAGAAGGCCCCAGGAAGCTTCAGGAGGCCCCAGGAGGCTTCAGGAGGCCTCCCTGAGGCGGTGGGACGCTCCAGGGAGCTCCAGGAGGCTTCAGGCGGCCGCAATTCGCATTGCCGACGACAAGACAGGCCATGTTGAAAGGAAAAGCGGAGACTTTGTATTGAGTTTTGACAGTCAGGATGGGAGGGCCCAGATTGACGTCCGCGCGCGATGCGCGCCGCGTCCCATTCCTGCCACGCAGTTCGCATCGTCGACGACAAGACAAGCCATGTTGAAAGGGGAAACGGGCATTTTGCACTGATGTCACACAGTCTGGATGGGAGAGCCCGGATGCAACCGCCATCGGCCAGACAGAGGGGAGAGTAAGAGTATATACGAATAAGGAGTAAGAATGAGGAGGATGTGGAACGATATTGCCATGCATCTTCCCGTCCCATGTCCCCATCTGTATACGTAAGTCCTCACAGATTTTCTGTGTTCACAAGTGGACGCGCACATTTGAAAGACAGGCGCTCTGCGGGCGTGGCGCTCACGACCCTGACTCTGGATCCGCCCTACTTTGGGGAAATTCGTAAGTGGGGCTTAGAATTTCCGCCTTAGTTTTCAAGCCCGGCTGATGCCAATTTCCGCCCTACTTGTCTGTTGCTGTTTCTCTGGATGTCCGCCCTATTGTACGTTGGGTGCAGCAATTTCCGCCCTACTTTTTCGGCCCCTTCTAGGTGGATTTCCGACGCAATTTGAAGTTGGAAAAAAAACCAAAGTAGGGCAGATGCGGAGTCAGGGGATTCGTGGCAGACCCGGGGCACCCAGCACAACGCCCGGCGCACCGAAGGCACCCGGCGCCGAGCGAACCCGACGCGCGTGGCGCACCCTCCGCACCGAGCGCACCCGGCGCCGAGTGCACCCGGCGCACCCGGTACACCCGGCGGCCCGGCACCCGGCGCCGAGAGCATCCAGGACACCCGGCGCACCCGGCACCGAGCGCACCCGGCGCCGAGTGCACCCGGCGCGCCCGGCACACCCGGCGGCCCAGCACCCGGCGCCGAGCGCACCCGGGACACCCGGCGCACCCGGCGCCGAGCGCACCCGGCACACCCGGCGCACCCGGCGGCCGGGCACCCGGCGCCGAATGCACCCGGGACACCCGGCGCACCCGGCGCCGAGCGCACCCGGCACACCCGGCACACCCGGCGCACCCGGGACCCCGCACAAGCAACTGTTATGGAGTTTGACAACGATTGCAAGTTCCAGGCCCAAACGAGGGATCGTGTTCCCAGCCCACCTCTGCGAGCTGAAGGCTTGAACAGACGAGGGATTTTGCTCCTCCTCGTCTGCTTTCTCTTGCCCCTGCCTCCGCAACGAACCGGCTCGAGGCTTACAACGAGGGCTGGCCCGTGCGGGAAGTCCTCGACGCCCCCGCCGGCGCCGACCGCCGCCGCCCCCGCGGGCTCCGCCGCGGGCTCCGCCGCGGGCTCCGCCGCGGGCCGCGCCGCCCGCGCCACGCCGGGGTGCCGCGCGGGGCGCCCCCCGGCCGCGCCGCGACAGGGCGCGCCAGACGGGCTCGAATCCGTTCGCCGTCGGCGAGCGGGTTCGTGTCGTGACGACCTCGGCGGCTCCTGCCTCCCAAAAATTCGGCGGCGAGCCAAGGAGGGGGGGGAAGCGAGAAAGAGCGGGCCTTCTCGGAGGGCTAGAAAGTCCCCTGGCCTTCTGAGAAGTGTCCTGAACCTTCCCCGAAGGCACCAAGAACTTCTCAGAAGGCTGGAGGCCTTCTGAGAAGCTCCGCCGCTTTCTGAGAAGGCCTCCTCCTCACTTTCCCCCCGCCTCGCTCGCCACCGATCGGCGGCTCCTGCCTTCCAAAGCGATTCTGGGCTGCGTCGTGCTCACCATGGGTTCTGTCGAAGATGTTGCCGCCTTCTCTTGTGCGACCCTCGTCTTGGCGGCGCAGATCGCGCTTGTGGTGCGCAACGACGTTGTGCCGCGCTGCCTGGAACTCTTCCGTGCGCTGCAGAAGAGGTTGTCAAGGGCAACGATAGGGGGAGAGGGGTAGGCCTAGAGGGTGATGCTCAGGAGGGGGAACAAAAAAACACAGACACAATTAATCGTCGATTCTCCAGAAAATATGGGAAAATATGGGAAGTGGGGGGAAGACGAAAAGCCAGAAAATATAGGAAAATATAGGAAATCTTGTTATTTGTGTGTATTTATTTGTGTGTTCCAGGGCCCCTTCAGATGCATCGGCCCTCAGTCGCCCATGGATCGTCGATAGGTGCCCGATAGCCCCAACCTGCCAAGGAGCACGTGGATACGCTATCGATGGCCCATCGCCGATCTATCGGCGATGCATCGTGCAAGGTCGACGCTTCCCCCTCCGAGCCGGTCCCCCCTAACGTTAAGTCGGGCCTGTCCCCCTACAGGGGGATGTTCGACGAAAAATAAAAAATACGCAAAAAAATACTCCAAAAACAGTCCGGGGACTATTTTTGTCAGTGTTTTTTTTTTTGACTTTTTGGGGGTATTTTTGTGGTATTGCTTATTTTTCATCGAAAATCCCCCTGTGGGGGGACACGCCCGACATAACCCTAACGTTGCCCCGCAGGCTGTTATTGGATGTGAGCGCTGGGGGCTCGTCAGAGAATGGGCGCGCACGAGATGACCTGGTCGCGCAAAAAGTGCAAGAGATAGTCACGCAGCGCCGTATCCAGCAGGCCCGAAGCTTTCTGTTTCCATGCTCCGTTTGGTGCTCTTTCGTGTGCATGCAGATGATCGTGAACGTTTCCCTTCATTTGCCGCGAGTAAGCGCTGGTTCAACGGACATATTGTTCTTTACATTCTGCGCGTCAATATTAGCATTGTTGTTCAAGCCTTCCTGGATGACGCGTTGGTCTATTGATATGTGGTGTTCCTGTTGGATGTGCCACCTGGTCATCGTAGTGTCACCACTTGTCGTTACGATTGACGGTCTATTTCTTGTTCATTCCGCTGCCTTCGGGGCCGCGAGGCTCTTCATGGGTACATGCATGAGTCTGCCCACATTTGGAGCCTGGAACGTCGTCTACTGGCTGGCTCTGGGCTCGCACTTTCTGAAGGAGCGGACTGCAGACGACATGTGCGACATCGCCTCTTGGAGAATCATCCTCCAGGTTGAGGCCCCCCTCGCGGCGGCGCTGCTGCTCATCAGCCGCTCGGTCCGCGGCGTCATGGAGGGAGAGGCGCAGCAGCAGGTGGAGGCGTGCTCCTCGCGCAGCGGGCTGGGCGCCGCGAAGTCATTGCTGGGCACCCTCTGCGACGCGGTGGTGGAGCTGGACGGGAGCTTGAAACTGCAAGGGCATTCGCCGAGCCTCTCCACGCTGCTCCTGCACGGCTCCGGCCACGGCCTTGGCGGCGCACAATTTGACCAGTTTATGTATACGGACGAGGACAAGGCTCGCTTGTACAGCTGCGTGAGGAACACCCTGCACGAGACCGACGCGATCGCCGACGCGGTTCACGTGAAGATGCGCGATTGCCTCGGGAACGCTATCGACATGGAGCTCTTCCACGTCTGCTTCTGGGACAGTCTGAGGGAGGTGCCTCAGCACCTCGTGGGCCTCAGAGAGCACAGCGACTTGCTTGCCACCCCGCAGAGGCTGCCAGAGCACCCGATGCAGGTCGACCCCATCTCTAGCCAAGAGACTCAGGCGATCCAGCCCGAGCTTGCGGTCGTCTTCAATGCGCTGACGTTCAAGATCCTCCAGTGCTCTTGGGCGTTCGTGGCTCGCTTCGGGGAGTACCCTGCCAGCACATCCCTCACTGACTGGCTGCCCCCAAGCGACCCTCACCTCGGGGTCTTCTGCGAAAACGTCAACAATTTCGCCAACTCGGACGAGGAAGCGTCATTCTTCGAGCTTGGCCCGCTGAACTTGCGGCTTCCAGGTGCCGACCAGGCTGGCACTCACGCCTCCTTCACGCTATCGCGGCCCCGTTGCGGGGACGAGGCCGAGCCGCAGATTGTTGCGTGCATGGTGCTAGCCACGGGCCAAGGCGGGCCTCATTCCCGAAGCTACGGGCCTTCCTGCGGCTCCAGATACAGCTTGGCGGCGCGCACGAAGGCCCAGATCGAGGGGGGTGGCCTTCGGAAAGGCGGGCCTTAGAATGGTTTTGAGGCTTGCAAGAGTAATTCGTAGAAGACGGGGGGGCTTCTTACCTCTCACGCCACCCCCGACAATGGTCCGCCCAAAACTGTTTAAGACCCTTCATAGTTCCTGTGGACCAGTTCTCCGGGCCGCATCCAGCCGTGGTGTCGAGAACCTCCATAGGCACAAAAGAAAATATCCAGCTACGAGGTCGTCATTGCGAGGGATGAGCATGATGATGGTGATGTTGATGCTGATGCTGATGCTGATGCTGATGCTGATGATGATGATGATGATGATGATGATGATGATGATGATGGTGATGGTGATGGTGATGGTGATGGTGATGGTGATGGTGATGGTGGTGATGCTGGTGATGATGATGCTGATACTGACGCTGCTGCTGCTGCTGCTTCTGCTGCTGCTGCTGATGATGATGATGATTATGATTATTAATACTATTGATGATGATGCTTATTATTATGATATCATTGTTATCATTATCATTATTACCATTATTACTATCATCATTATTATCACTATTATTAATATTACAACTATTGTTACTATTAATATTTAATAATTATTATTGTCAATATCTGTATGATGAATATGACTATTATTATTTGTAGTATTATGATTATTAGCATTAGTATTATGACTATTATTATTATTGTTATTATGAATTCCAGATTGTGCGCAGTTTATTCAGAGCGGGAGGGGATGGTTCCAAAGGCGTTCTGGTTCTGGCCAATGCAATCCGCCCAGATCCTGTGGGCGGCGGCTGTCATCGCTCGGCTGACCTGGATCTCCCAGGCGCTGCGGCCGCAGGCGGCGCTCCCGATCGCGGTCCCCGAGCCGCGGGTGACGCATGAGCTAGCTTGCTCGTGCGAGGAGGAGCTGCGCGAGCTCCTGCGGGCGCGGGGCGAGCTGGAGTGGTTCCGGCTCTGCGCGCTGGCCCTGCTCGCCGCCTGCGTGGTGCTGGTGGTCTGCGTGGCGGCGCTTGCGCTGCTGGCGGCAGGCTGCTGCTGCTGCGCTGGCGGGGCGCGGGCCGCGGCTCGGCGGCGCGACGTCGCGCGGGTGGCGCTTCAGGCCGCCCTGCCCAGCCCCGAGCTCCTCTCGCAGCTCGCGGCTCGTGAGGTTCGGCGGGCATGATGGCGGCCCCCGTCGGGGACGTCGAGCGGGCTCTGACGATCGAAGAGCCGCAGGTGCTGATGAGGCACACGACTCACCCCACCCACGCGTGGCACCACCTCATATTGCTGCGGCGGCTGCGCGACGCGGTGTGGCTGGTCATCTCGGCGTCGGAGGCGGTCGAGAGCGTGGATCTCTCGACGGCGTCGCTGGTGGCGCTGGCGCCGGGGGCCGCGGTCGCCGCGGGTCAGGCCGGGGACTGCTTGATGTGCGAGGACACGGTCGTCGCCAGGCTGCCCGCCCTCCACGCGCAGGCCGCGCGGCTGGCTGCTGTGCTGGGTGCCCCCTCGCCCGGCGCGCCCGTGGGCGCCGCCACCTCGAGCTGCCGCGTCGCGGACACCTCGGCCGTCGAGTTCGGCGAGGAGGTGGCCGGCGACATTGTGGGCAGCGCCGCCACTGGGGTGACGCGGGGCTCGGTCGGGCTTGCGTTAGTGGGCCACCCGGGGCGCTGGCTCGCCATCGAGCTGGTGCCGCACGCGGAGGTCGCAGCCTGGCAGCTTGACAAGCGCTGCGGCGCGGGGCGCGACGCCAGGATCGCGGCTCCGCCTGCGTCCGACTCGGCGACCGGCATGCACCAGCTCGGCAGCGTGCTCGGCGCCTTCCGCCCCGTCGACCTGGCGAAGGTCCCCGCTTGGCCTCGCGCTGGGCCTCGCGCGGTGGTCGAGCTGTTGAAGGGCATCCACGGGCTAGGGCCGACGGCCGCCACGTATCACGCCAGCTGGGTGCGAGCGTCGGGGGTGCACAGCGAGAGCGCCGTGGCCTGGGAGCATAAGCTGCGCTGCCAGGTGCTCGGGCTGGCGGTGGGGTGCGACGGGTTGGACCCCGCCAACTGTGCCTCGCTCGAGCTCGCGGCGCGGCGGGTGGCCCAGATCGAGCGGGCCGTGGAGGTGAACCCCAAGGCGCCCAGTTCCCAGGGCCTGCGTCGCATGATCGAGCACGTGCAGGACGAGCAGGGCGGCGTCCAGACGCGGGAGCTCACCGCCCACATGGCGCAGCAGGCCGACCGAGAGCGAGGCCCGCATCTTGAAGCAGAACCGCCTGCTGCGCGAGGAGCTGGAGGCCAAGCGGAAGGACAAGGACAAGGACAAGAACAAGGACAGGGGCAAGGACAAGGACAGGGACTCCTAGGGCCAGGGTGCGGTCCCGCCGGCGCGCGGTCCCAGCGTCCGGCGGGTCTCTCTCTTCGGGACACTCTACCGCTCCTTTGCGCAACTACGGGGGTGGAGACTCCGCTGCTGCAGCAGCCGATCTCGAGACTGGGGCAGGGCGCGAACCTGCAGGAGCAGCTCCTCAGCGATTATGGCGCGGCGCTCTCCGCCCTGTCTCGGGCGCAACCTCGACCTCCACTTCTACGCGGGCTTCGAGGCAGTGAACTCGATTTTCGGGCATGCTCAGCTTGGCAGCGCCGGGCTTTGACAAGTGCTCGGGCGGCCCTCGCCCCTATGCTCCAAGAGCCGCCGCAGGAGACTGAGGCCGGCGCGCTGTCCGACCTCCTCCACTCTGACTATTTGTACACCTTGACTGGGGGTGCCGCGCTGGGCACCCATGACTTCTCTCGCTTGCGGGTGGCCCGCGGGGATCTGCGCCCAAAGGAGGCGGGCGACACCGCGCCCCCCGAGGCGGCAGTCTTCATCCGCGACCCCGCGACCTATATTCTCAAGATTGATGCTGAGCTGGCTGCCGATGTGGACGCTGGCACTCTCCGTGGCAAGCCGCACTGGGGCCCCGTCCTCAAGGGATCGCGTCGGGACGTGGTCGACTTCTTGGGGGCGTTGCACTCCGGAGGGCTCCTCACCTGGCGCTGGCGCACGCACAGCCGTGTCGGGTGTTTCTTTGTGAAGAAGAAGGATGGCATGCTGCGTCTGGTGCTGGGCGCGCGCTGGACCAACCGCACGTGCAGGAAGGCCCCGCTGTCACGTTTGGCGGCGCCGAGTGCACTGGCGAGGCTGTCCGCTTCGCGCGAGGCCCTGGCGCTGGAGGAGGCCGAGCTGCGGGCCGCAGGCGTGTCCGCTGCTGCCGACAACGCGGGTGCGGACCACGAGCTCTGCGGCTTCAGCGTCGACCTCACCGACGGCTTCTACCAGTTCAAGAGCGAGCGGATGGCGAGCTATTTTGGTCTGGACTTCACGCTCTCCGTCGACGAGATCGAGGCCGCGTTCGGGATCGTCCTGCGCGACATATTCGACGAGCTGGAGAGCGGGCTTAGCCCGGTCTCCCCGCGCGAGCGCCTCGAGGCTTGCTTTCTCGGCATGGCAATGGGCTGGAGTTGGGCGCCCTACTTCTGCAGCGAGACGATCAGCGACGTCATGCGGCGCGCGCTCGGCACGCACGGGCCCCCGCACACGCTGGCGGGGGGCCGCCAACATCCGGCCGCGCTCCATCCCTGGGCACCAGCCATGGCGCCCCGCACGTCGACAACGTGAATATGTTGGCACTTGGGGCGGATCACGGCCGGGCTGTCTTCAAGACTGTGGACCATGTGGATGCTGCCCCCCGTTTCGAGTTCTTGGGCATGATGCTGGATGGTCCCGCTCGACGCCTACGACACGCTTCGAGGCGTAGCTGGCGACTCTGGTTGGCCCTGGGCCATGTACTTCGGTCGCGGCGGTGCTCGGGCGACGGTCTTCGAGTCTTGCTAGGTCACCTCTGCCATCACTTCGGCCTCAGACCCGCCTGTCTCAGCTGCTTGCAGGGCGTCTACCGCTTCGCGTTCGACCACCTAGGCCAGGTCAAGGTGCTGCCCGCCGAGGTGTGGGATGAGCTGTGGGTGCGTCGCGCCCTCGTGCTCTTCGTCGACGTCAACCTGGACCGCGGCTTCTACCATCGCGTCTTCTGTTCGGACTCCTCGGGCGGCGGGCGCGGCGGCTTCGCGCTCCGCGAGACGCCGGCCAGCGCCTCGGAGGTAGCAGGGCTCGGCCGCTGGAAGGGGCGCTGGCGGTTTCGCGAGGTGCCCCGGGCCGACGCCAAGGAGCCCGGCTCCGTGCCCAGCGTCGCGGCGGCGGTGGCGGCTGAGCCAGGTGCCGAGTGGGCCGACGGCTTCGCTGGCCCAGTGCAGAGCAATTCGCGGCGGCCCAACGCGTCGCTGGGCGTGGTGGAGCGCTCGCGCCGCGAGGTCGCCTACCACCAGGGTGGCATCCCGAGCGTCTCTGGCTTGATCACCCATCCTAATCGCTGGCGGCTCGTGCTGACCGGAGCGTGGCGCGGCCCCAGCGCGACGCTGCCGATCCACGTCCTGGAGTGCCGCACGTCGCTCATGGGCCTCCCCTTTTCGCCTTTGAACCGATCGCGCTGCTCTGTTGTATCTAGCTGTGCTGACAGGATTTCTCTCTCGCTCGATTTGTTATTCTGCTTGTGCTGCTGGAGATGGTGCGATCCCGTTTCCTCGGCGCGTCGCCGAGCCTTGAGTCACAAAGATTGTGTGCCCTTCACTTTGCGTCTTTCTCTCTTTGTCCTGGGCTCATATTTGTGGCTATGCGCCTGTTCCGCCAGCATCCGCAATGTCCCCGCTGGCGTAGAGAACAATAATTAGTATTGTTATTATTGATATTATTGTTATTATTGTTATTATTGTTCTTATCGTTGGGATATCCTGGGGGTTCTCTCGGGGTTTGTTGGAGTTCCGAGGCTTCTTGGGGGCCGTCTGGCGGCCTCTTCGAAGCTTCTTGGAGGCCTTTTGGGGCTCCTTGGAGGGCTCTTGGGGTTTCCTGGGGGCCTCTTCGGGCAGAAGGCTGGACTTGTCGGTTCGTTTTCCCCTTCTTGGGCCTTTCTTGAGGCCGTCTTGGGTTGTTCTAGGGCTGATGTGGGCGCTGCTTGGGCCGGGTTGGGGCTCTTTTGGGCCGTCTGGGGACCCTCTTGGGCCTGGGCCATCTTGGGGTTATATTGGGGGGCTTCCGTCTTGGAGCGTCGGAAGCTTGAGAAGGCGATAGCGTGAAAAGCATAGAAAACACAATGGGCATCATGAGTGGTTGCTTCTTGGGGCCCTCGTGGGAGTCATCTTGGAGCGTTTTCGGGGTTTCTTTGGGGCTATGTTCGCTTGTCTTGGAGGCATCTTGGGCCATTTTGGCGGCCTTGCTGGCCTTCCAAGTCCGTCTTGGAAGTCATGTTAGGGATCTTGGGCGCATTGGAGACCGCCAGGAGCGGGCCTGGGCGCCGACAGAGCCTCGGGAAGACGGGGCAGTGCGCGCGGCGAGGTGCGTCCAGAGGAGAGGGCCCTTGGAACACGACAGAAACCCTACCAGACAGCACTTGGCATTCTGGCACGCCTCCACGTGACAGGGGGCACGGTGGCGGATCGAGAACGGCAACGTCGACACCGTTGCCCATCCCCCGCTCCCAATCTCAACTTTTTTTTCGGTGGCAGGGCATTTCGGACTTGAGGCCTTCTGGGCCGGAAAAGGTTGCGGCATTCTCGCGCGCGTGCCGTGCAGCGCGCGAGTAAGGTAGCTGGAGGTTAGGATTGCGAGGATGAGGTGGAGGAGGAGGAGGAGGTGGAGGAGGTGGAGGAGGAGGAGGAGGAGGTGGTGGAGGAGGAGGAGGAGAAGAAGGAACAGGTGGAGGAGGAGGCGGAGGAGGATGAGGAGGAGGAAGAGGAGGAGGAGGGAGGAGGGAGGAGGGAGGAGGGAGGAGGGAGGAGGGAGGAGGGAGGAGGGAGGAGGGAAGAGGAGGAGGAGGAGGAGGAGGAGGAGGAGGAGGAGGAGGAGGGGTGGAGAAAACCCTTCGAGCGCGCCGCCAGACAGCAGCTCCAGACGCAGCAAATCCAGGCACACCAGCCACAACAAGTGCGGGAGCTGCGGTCCTTGCCCCCCCCAGGGGGGAGCCATCGGCCTCGACATTCCTCTATCGGGGATCCTACAAGGTTGCGGTGACCATACAGTCAACCCGCATGGTAAAGATGGGTAATTTTCCCTATGGTACCCTTGCATCCTTGCCTCTTCGGTCCATCCTTGGCCACTTTCGTTGGCCGCGCCCCGCCCGAAAAGCTTCGAAATGGGCGTCCAATGCCCTTGCATCCTCATCGCGCATCCTTATAAAGCGGGTTGACTGCAGCGTGAGGTGAGTCAACGGGGTTTCGGGGTCACCGCACAGTTTTTGGACTCGGGTCCTCCGAGGACGTCTCAAGCGGAAGGTCCTAAGACCGTGCGGTGAGAGATCGCGCGGTGAGGTCGCTGCGCAATTCCGAGGCCACCACGCGGTCCGTCACCACACGGTTTGGAGGCCTCCGATGCTCCAGAGATCCCTTGAGATCCAACGTTGCGGAAAAAGTGCAACATCACGATAAGTCACGACCAGGGCTCTAGACTCCATCTTTTTGCGTCATCTACCGAGCCGGATCGATCTGTGAGGGCCCCAGGGCCCGACAGCGGGCGAAGACGCCCGGAGCAAAAAAAAATTGCAATGCCAGGATCCAGGAGTCGCCGATACCATATGGGTCCCCCCAGGGGCGGGACCGAACGCAGCCCCGCCAGCTGTGCCCGTTGCCGCCACCGCCGCTGCCGGTGTCGCCGCCGCCGCCATCACCGTCGCCGTAGCCGTCACCGTTGCCGTCGCCGTCGTTGCGTTGCCGTCGTCGCCGCCGCCGCCGCCCGCCCGCAGGCGCAGCAGTTCCCGGTACAGCGCACACCGCGAGGGGGCTGCCGCTCGGGGCACGGCGGCGGACGCGGGGCCCAAGCGCCAGCTGGGCGGCCCAGGGCCGCACGAGAGCGGCTGCGGTGGGCGCCGCGCCGACGGCTCCACGGCGGCCGTCGCCCAGCCGTGAGGGCAGGCTCCTGTCGGGGTGGCGTGCCCGTCGGTCGCTGGAAGCAGGTGTTTCAGGAGCGACAGAAGGACGTACACGTACATGAATCCACGTTGGTTTCGAGAGTACGCATTGCGCAAATGTTCGTATAACGCGGCCGGTCTCGCGGATCGAGGGGCCGTGTTCATGTACATAGCTGGGCGCGTACGTCCTTTTGTGGGCTCCCTAGTGTTTCTGGATCCCCAGATCCCAATCCACTGAAAGCGCCTTACTGAGTCAAGAGTCGATGTGTTTTTGCTGTCTTTGGTTCTTATCTGGTAGGGCCGAATCCCAACCTACTCTATCCGCCTTCCCATTTTCATGTTTGTACCTACTTCTTTCCGACGTGTAAGGCTCGAGCTCGCCGGAGCTCGGGTTTGCCGACGCTCTTTAGCGAGCTCGTCCTGTATTTGGGGGGTCCAGTTCTCGTGGCACGTCTGCAGCGGGAGCTCGCGTCGAGCTTCAGGCTGGGGCTCGTCGATTCTCTGGCGGCCCTGGCAGGCCAACCCGAGCCCCCCTGGCGCCCAAAAGTCTCACGTCGCCCGGGTCCGAAGGCGAGTAGGGGAGGGGGAGGGGAAGGCGGGGCGAGGCGCGCTGATGCAGCTAGCCTTAAGTCGGGCACGTCCATCTACAGGAGGAATATTCAAAAAAAGTCAAAAGATAGTCTGGATATGTTCGAGTATTTGTTGCTATCGTCCAAAATCCGCCTGCAGGAGGACATGCCCGACATAAACTAGCCGCATCCGTTCAGAAATACTGGCGCTTCGCCTCAGCAAGAGCAGGTGGGCCCAGCTGAGGGGCGCCGCGCGCACAAGCAGTCCTGCCGCGCACGCGACTGTTCTCGCAGTCAGCGACATTAGAGATTTGCCGTTTAAGCACTTCATGTGCTGTTCTCTCTCTCCGTCCCTCCCTTCTCACCCGCCCTTTGCATCGTGCGAGTGGTATCAGTGTCCATCTGGGTCTCGCAGCGCAGCAGATGTGTCTCCCGGGCCCCGGATCATCGCATGAGTCTGCATTTTGCACGTTGGTTTGTGTCGTGTTGCCTGGAGGTCCTCTTGGGGGCCTGCGAAACAAGGACGTACATGTACATGAATCCACGCTGGTTTCGAGAGCACGCATTGCACAAATGTTCGTATAACGCGGCGGGTCTCGCGAATCGAGGGGCCGTGTTCATGTACATCATAGCTGGGCGCGTACGTCCTTTGTGGGCTCCCTATCTTGGGCGGTGTTGGGACCGTTTTTGGCCATCTTTGCGGCCTTGGTGGCCTGCCTGGGCCGTCTTGGAAGCCCTGAAGGGCCTCGGAGAGCGCCAGCCATGCGTCAGGCCGCCCTGGAGGCCTCGGGAGAGGCCGGGGGAAGTGGGGCAATGCACGCAAGGAAACGCTGAGGAAGGAAGGGGAAACCGTTGGGAGAGTACAGAAACACTACCAGATTGATGTATTGAAATCGAGGGACAGTACGCCATTCGTGCAAACAACTGTGATTCACATTGCGGGGACCGAAATCATCATGGTCCACTATGTGGTTGCTTCCTTGGCATGCTGCCCGCATAGAAGAAACACATGATGTTTCTACCATGATTTCCTTTGAGCGTAAAGTTTTCAATTTAATGTGGTTTGGGTAAGTGTGCTTGTACAGGTTGGACAGATCCTGGGTACCAGTTGAGTGGTGGCATGCCTTGACTGTAGCAGTCTTATGACTTGCAGCAGACGCGTTCGGATGCAAAACCCAGGGTGCTTTGACTACTGAGGGTGCTGCATATCCGTCTGCTCTATTGCACGTCGAGCGTGCATCGCCGTGTTCTTCATATCGTGCGAGTTTGCCACAAATGATTGTCCAATCAGATGAGGCCGTGGGCCACCACACCAGGAGGCCCGATGCCACGGAAGGTACTGTGTGTTCATGTTTTGCCGCGTCTTTCGAGAAAAAATAACAACCCTGATTCACATTGCAAATCTTCGTGCATCCAGAGCTTCTAGCCGTGGCCGCGGTCATGCACTGTCTCGTATTTCGCAGAGGTGGAGAGGGGACAGGGGGAGACGGGGGAGGGGGAGGGAGGCATGGGCATAGGGGGCTGGTATGATGCAGCCACGAGGTTGGCACGAGGGATCCAAGCGCCGTGACCTCTCCTGCCATCTCCTCCTGTTCTCGTCCTTCTCCCCACGTTCCCTATCGTCATCCTCGTCCTCGTCCCGCTCGAGTGTGGAAGTGCGCGGGAATGATTTGCGCGGCTTTTGCACAAGCGTGGCACAGCATAATGCTCACGGTTATAACTTAGTTGCCTCCCCATCCTTGTTCCTGCGACCAACCGTCCTTGGCATCGCTCGGACGTGTGCATTTTTCCCTCGGCGAAGACCATCGAGGAGCATCCTTGATCATTCGGGGAAAAAACCACGCACGAACCCCCCCCAAAAAACGGGGAATAGACGTCCGAGCGATGGCCAGCGTCTTCACAACGGCCGACGACGGGCACACAACATCAGACCGATACTTTTACAGCACCACGCAGCTGAGTAGCCTCGCAGACGACCAGCAAACATCGACGATGATGCCACCAGCTAGAGTTCGCGGCAACGATCGCCTCTCCGACTCATATTTGGACCACGCGAGCCCCCGGCCAGATATGTTCCCAACCTTCGTGTGCTGGGTTCCCGTTCTGAAGAGAGCAATATGGTCTCCACCCCGCTCCTTACTCCCAATTCTCCTGTGTTGGGTTTTCGTTTTGCTCGCAATCCGCTTCTTTTGGGTTTTCGTTTTGAGTAGACCAATGCGGTCGCGACTCCTCCTTCTCCCGCTTCTCCCTCCTCCTACTTCCTCCTGCGCTGCCCCCTGGGTTGCTGCGAAATTCGCAACTGTCGCCACTTTCGTGTCTCCTGGGAGGCACGGCGGAGACGCGGAATACGCGGATCCACATGCGGGCGAGGCCACGAAGCATAAAAAGGGTGCAACGGTATGGGTATGGGTGCGTACGGTGGCTGCCTCTGCCACGAAACGTGCGAATGATCTGTTGAACTGGGCGTGAGTAAAACAAAATAAAAGAAAAGGCCAACAAAAAAACGGGGACAATGTTTTTCGAACAGAGACCCAACAACTTAAGATGCGTGATTTGCGGCATGTTTTGTCGTGCACGGTTTGTGATTCAATGAAATTGTAAGTAATTCACCGCGTGAGATCTGTAATTCAATTTATTTTATTTTTGATGCGGCGTGCGCGGTTTGTGATTCAATGTGTGAATGTGAGATTTGGTGCGCGCGTTCTGGCATTCAATGCATGATGTTTGTAAGTCGGCACGCGGGGGCCCGGATTCAATGTGTGGCATTTGTGATTCGACGCGCGCGGTGCGTGATTTCTGCGCAATTTGCGATTCAATCTTTGGTATATGATTCGGAACCTGCTGCGTGATTAACATGATCTCGTGGTGTGCCTCACCTATCATCCCCGCAAAACGCAAAAACCCATATTCAAGAATTTGATGCCGTTTGGGCTTGTTGCCAAGGTCCTAAATTTTCTTACCGCGGCCCGGAAAAATATCACCGAAATTCAAGATCCGTTACCAATACCTGCGATACGGATCTCCGTTGATAACAATGGCCCGCTACATTCGCAACCACCCAGCTACCGCGTGATCGCTGCATGATGAACAAGAATTATTTACCGTCGTGGTCGGGCGCACAATTCCACATTATGGGTGCTGACGTTGGCCACTTACAACGGGGCTCGGAGTTGTTCTTTGTTTCGCTGGGTTCTACATCAGAGATACAATTTCTACAATTAGTCGCAATTCTAGCGCGAGAGCCTAGCTGCCTTCTCCCACCATCTCTACAACGATAATCAATACAGATATTTTCGCATATATTATGCTGACGTCTTTGGAAACTCGCGGACATGGAGGTTATCTGAATCCTTCGTCTCCCTCCCTCCCTCTTCCCTCCCTCTTTATCCCCCTGATCTTGCTCCTGCCCTTGCTCCTGTTCCTGCTTCTGGAACCCGGGGCCCTCGGGTCTGGGGACGGTTCCAAAGCGAACGGACCGCGCGCGGCCCCCGCGCGTCCCGTGCCGCTCAACCTCTTTTGCTTCCTTCCCCCGCCACTCCATTTCCTCTGGCCCATCCGCGTTGGCACCGGCGCCCCTCCTCAAGCCCCTCGGCCTTCTCGTGGCTCTCTGAAGTGATCCTCTGGAGCTCTCTGCGCGTCTTTCCCCTCCACCTCATCTTTCTCGTCCTCCTCCTCCTCCGCCACCTCCTCCTGCATTTCTTCCTGAGCGCCTCGTTCACTGCTTCCTCTACTTCGGATCTCGGTGGCTGCGGCGACCCTCACCAGGCTGGCCACCACCGTCTCTCGGCCTCCAACCTGCAGTCGGCTTTGTCCTCTGGGACCCTCCTCCTCCTAACAGTGCAAAAGGATCAGGACGAACAAGAGGAGGAGCAGGAAAGGAGGAGGAGGACGAGGAGGAGAACAAGGACGAGGACGAGGACGACGAGGAGGAGGACGTAGCCTGCAAGCTGGGCATGGCTTTTGAAATCGTCGTTTCCTGCCGGTTGCTGGGGAAAAACAGATGTCGGGAGCTTGGAGCAAAAACCATAACATTACCACGGCCCAACAAAAATGTGGAATCTCGAGTCGAACCCGAATGCGTTTACGTATATACCTTGGTTTAGATAAGTTTAGGGACGGTCCCGCTTGACAACCAGAGGGGTTTAGACAGGTTCAGGGCGGGTTTAGATAGATTCAGGGTGGGTTTTGATAGGTGTAGGGCGGGCTTAAGTAGACTTAGAGCAGGTGTAGATAGGTTCAGTGCGGGTATAGGTCGGTTAAGTGTGCGTTTAAATATGTTTAGAACGGACTTAGATTTTAGATAAGTGTAGGGCGGGTGCGTATCGGAGTAGGAAGGGATTGGATATTGTAGGGCGGGTTTAGATCGGTGTAGAGTGGTCTTGATATGATTTAGACAAGTCTACCGCGGGTTTAGATAGCCTTAGCGCGGTTTTAAGTAAGTCTGGACGAGGAAATTATCATAACAAACGATCATTGGCGCATGCGTTTCCATCAGCTGAAACATACGAGTGTGACCAGCAAAACTAGAGGAAAGAGAACTAGGCACATACACCGATTCTGGCCAAGCCTATCCTGAGCCTAGGATCGGTGCATACGCCCTCCTACCTTGGCCACGAATGTATATGCACCGATCTTGGATCAAAGATGGGCCTTCCCAGGATCCATGTGCATCATTCTCTTCGCCCGAAAAACCAGTGAACTCAAATTCAGCACAATTGACCACGCAAACGAAGATAACCAAATTTGCGCGCACATCGATCCAACAAGAGCAGCCGGCGCGGTAACCTTCCAAGAGAAGACCACCGAGATGTAGACTTCCCTGAATGCCCGATTGCACCACCCCACACGATCGGCATCCATAACGCCCCTGGCCCCCTTGGGCCTGTGATCGTCCACGCATCGAGACACGTCGCGCCATGGCGCGCCCCCCCGGACTGGTCTAGCCAACATAAAGATAAATTGAGAAATAATCATCTCCGACAAACTCCACCTCGTCCACCCATGTTCCCGCAATCGCGTTCAACTGTAACTGTTTCTGCCCCGCGCGCCCCAGCAGAATAACGAACCCTAACCCCACGATAAATCTTTATTCGTTGACAGAAGCAAGCGTTATGGAAAGGCTCCTTCCGTCCCCAGAGTGTGGGTTTGGCACGGCAAATTGTGGTACAGTGCCGGGCGCACTGCGGCAATGCCAGGAGCGCACTGGGGGGGGCAGCGTTGCGTTGGGGCGGGGGGAGGGGGGGAGAACGCGAGTTACGGCTTAGAAAATTAGTTTGGCAAACTGCTTCCTTCCCCAGTGAGGTGCGCCAATGTTTAAACCGAGGGCTCACCACCCTCCGCTGCTGTCCCCCGGACAAGGATCGGGATAAATAATTCGTTGCGGGAGATCGACGATGGCGTGGGAATTGGCGGCGGCGGTGCCAGCATGGGTGCAGAGCCGGGTCAAGCAACGAAAGAATTCGGCAAATTCACAGCTTGGAATCGGAGACGATTCGGAAACCAGAATCGAAAAGGATGGGCAACTGAATTTGGTAGGGCATGAGTTAGAATTTGAATCGCAACGAATCCAACAACATATCGATCACTGCATTTGCAGAAATATACCGGACCCGAAACCCACAACTCTGGTGTTTCTGGATCTTCGCTGTCATGTGATGCTTTACCCCGGCATCGAGGGGGCTATCTGTATTTTGGACCTCTGGGAAAAGGTGCACCCGAAGAACACCCCCTATCTCCCATACACTCCGTGCGGGCTCTGCCTCGGGAGTGCCGGTCAAAAAGCGTATATCGGCAAATTATTGCCTTCGTCTTGCACCCCATAGTGGATGCGTTCTACATGCGCCACGCATCAAGGGCGGGAGGGTGGAGCGCGCAAGTGAGCCCGGATTATATGAGTGCCAATAAAAGGCACGAAACAAATGACCCTCATGGGGCAGGCGCGAACCGCCGAAATGCGGCCCCGAAGTGGGCGAGCATTATAATACAACCGTGCTTGGTGGGCAGGCCCGAACGGCCGCAAAAATAGCCCGAAGTTGGTGGCCCAAATGGCCCACAGTAGCCTGGAGAATACACAATACATCCGCCAAGCCTGCTGCCCACACTGCAAGCTGCCTGCGCACATTATGGCCCACGAAATGGCCTGACCAGAAAAAGCAAATATGGTACAGCTGGAGATCTCGGAATTTCCGAAAGGCTACGCCCTCCTGCAATTCTCTTCAATCTTCGCTGTCATGTGATGTTTTACCCCAGCATCGAGGGGGCTATCTGCATTTCTGACCTCTGGGAAAAGGCACACACGAAAAACACCCCCCGAAACGCCCCCTCGAGGCTTGAGTTTTCCCTCTTCCGACATCGGCGCCCGACCACCTTGCAACGTACGCGTCCGTTCTGCACGACGCAGGCAAAGCGTTGGCGAAATGTGTATGGCTATTTTTCAA